CCTGAAGCTGTAACGGTGGCCTTGGTTCTCAAACTAGAAAAGGATTCCTTTGTCTAACTAAACTGTGAAGAGAACTTGCTAATGCTTTATATGAAGTTCAGAGTTATATACTTATGCAATATAGAATCTGGAAAATATGAAAGCTAAAACTTAAGGCATCATTTTATCTACAGCCTGTCTTCCTTCAAATCACAGGACAATGTAGGTAGGGGTAATATGTATATATTCACACAAATATATATATTCACACTGGTCCTGTAAAGGCAGAAGCAAACCTATAATGTTTGAAAAAAAAATATAAAGGATTAGGACTGCTTTAGCTGAAAAAATGATAAATTACTTGATTCAACTTCCTACCCTAAAATGTCACAACACTTCCTTTCATTGGATTTTGGTTGTGATTCCAAGTCCAGCATAACACCCTTGCTTGTTCTGTTTTAGCTAAGACTGACTATAAAACCATGTACAGGCCCCACTATTGCTTCCCTACAGTGCAAAAACAAGAAGGAAGCAAAAAAATAAAAATTGATCAGTGTATATATCCATGTGATGTTTACATATCTGTGTGTATAGAGACATAAAAGGAAAGCAGGCACTTGGAATTAGTGAGCTCTGATTTTCTCAAATGTTTCTTGACTGATGACAGAGGTGATGGCTCCAGCATTACAGAAGCCTCGGTCTCCCAGACATATCTAAATGTATACAACCTATGAGACAGCAGTCTAGGCCAAAATACATGCAGGCTGGCACTAAATGGCATTGAAGGAAAAACAGAATATCTAACACATAACTCATAGGAGGCTTTGCAAGCAGCATAATGCTACTTAAATCATCAGACCACTGTTATCTTCATTTCTGAATGTTGCAAATTACTTTCATCATCCACTCTCCACTCACTACAGGAGAAAGAAACTGGAGCCAAGCTTGAAGAGACAGTTCACTTCTAAAAACCTTGGTGGGCTGACTGCAGATCACTTTGGCAAGAGATTTTTAAACAGTCTTAAATTTGTCTTGGCCTTTTGTGCATCTAGTTCAGCTTTTTTGGCAAAACTCCAGTAGTAAATGAGGTTTTCTTCACTTTCTGTCCCAACTGCTGTGAAATTTTGCTGTAAAATGAATTAAAATTGCAGAAATCCATCCAAAAGGTGGTTGAAGGGAATACAGACTCCTGCACAGAAAAGGAAAAAGCTTTTTCCTCCCTACAGAAGAAAAAAGGACACATGAAACTATTCAGCCCCAACCTGGCTTATGCAGTGCCTGTTGCAGAAAGATAACTAAAGCCATCTTTGTTTTCTCTCATCTGGTCTGTAGAAACATCATGTGTTTTGCAGGTCTGGAGGGCTGTGGAAGAGAAGCTGGAAAGTGAAAAGAAGCCTCCATAGAACTATTTTTACCAGGCCTATTTCTCTTCTAAAGTGGTTGAATGGTCCCCTTCTGATGGGAGGAGAGGGAAGGAAAGAATAAAACTGCAGAGAAGAGAAATGGAAGATCTTTGCACGGAAAACACTGTTAATCTTAAACTGACAAAGTCTCATCCATGTACTGGGAGACCAGTACAGCCATTTTTCTGTGCCTAAGCTTGAGAATTTTCCTTATTATCTCTATTTTCACTTCCTTTCTTTCTTTTTTTTCCCCCCGCAGTACAAGAGGCAAAATCATGATCAGAGCTGTAAGGTAGGCTTATAATATTTTGAAGGAAAACATGACATGCATAAGCACATTTCTTTCATTAAAAGATTTGATTGCATTTACTTACATGAAATTGGGCTTTCAGAAACTGCTGGATCCCATTAAGTCACATGCTATTTTTATGTAAAAATTTCAGTGCCATTCTTTGGGAGGAGTCTGTTTACATACAATATTAGACATCATTTCTCTGTATGTACTATGTATCTGACTGTGCTGCTCATATATGCAGTAAAGTGTCTTACAGCAAAAAGTAGCTTCACTGGACACTGGAAGTGGGACTTCCTGGAAGAAAAGTTCCTAAGATGTGCATGGATGTGCAAGTGTTTGTGTGTGTGTACACAAAGATTTAAGAGTGAATGAGCCAGTTTGTGAACTGGCTTGTTCAACTTACATCTCACCATCTTACCTCCTTTGGTAGCCAGCTACTCTCTGAGTAGATATTTTGGCCTCAGAAAAACTCCTATGAAACTGCTTACCAGAAACAGCATGGGTAGGTCAAGTGTCTTCAGCTGAATTTGGAAAAAAAAAATAAATCCCAAACTCCCAAAACAATCAGAATATCTTTGTGGAAACTAGAAAGATCCTGCAAAGAAACAAGCAGGCCATATGCACACACATATCTGGCTGTGGTGATCTTCCAACAACATCTTAAGCAGCTCTACATCACATATGGTACCAGAACAGCTGACCTGCTGCAGATATCTTGTGATACGGAAGAAAAATTCAGTATGATTTTCTGTGTCACCATGCCAGCTGGCAGTGTCATGGTTGCAGAGTTCACATATGACTGCAATTTTCTGTAATGACAGTCCTTTCCTACTGTGAATATGATTTAGAAATTATTCTAGCTGCAGTAAACTCATTTAGGGAAATTTGAGGGGCACTGGCAGAAGTGCAGGCACATCTGCCACAACTAGTGGCCTCCTTCCATGTGGAGGGGCAGTCAAAATCAGACTCCTCAGCATTACAATCCCTGTGGTACATTAGCAGGTTAGTAGAAGTCTATGCATTCACTGAGATCTAATATTAAAGAATCTCTGGCTTTAATGAGGTGACTAGTCAAGGGCTTTAACTCAGCCAGTAGTATCAGCCAGCAAAGCTTGCTGACTTGTGTTACATACCTTAGACATACCTGTGCAGGGCCTGCTGTCTTCCCATTGTTCATTTTGGGATTGCATCTACTCCATAGTAAAGGGAAAAATTATCTCATGTGACAGACCAGTATATTTTGGGCTCACACTTTAGATAATCTGATTTGAAGATATAACGTGTATGGACTCCCCTACAGTGTCATTTTTTAGTGAATCTTGGCCATACACACACACAAACATGCACCATTAGGAGGAAACAAATTCCAGACCCTTTAACAGAAACATTGCTGACAGCAGGTACTAGAGAAGAGGCATTAACAACACATTCACTTTGATCATGTTGATGGTTCAATCTCTCTTATCCCATGGAAACTGTAGTACAATTCTTTCTAGAGCAACATAGTTAGCAAGGCACCCTTAGGTATGAGCTGTCACGGCCACACAGCAACTGGAACAACTGGACACATCAGAAACACATCTCCACTGATACAAGAACTTTGACCAAGAAGAGGTCTGAGGGAGAGGGGTAGAACCAAAGTGCAAAAGCAGATGAATTGTCATTTCAAAAAGCAAAAGCACAAATTCTGTATAATGTATGCCATTAACAGTGAAGAAAGTGCATTTTCAGTGATGCAAAACAATAGGTCAAGTTCTAATATATTTGTGAATAGCAATAGTAATATCAGCACTTTTTAGAACAGCCTGCCCAAAAAATATTTTGGCTGCAGTACAGGTAGAAAGTCCTATGGAATGGCATATACATACAGACCAACAGCAATAAACCACATAAAAGTACACACTAAGAATCAAAGAGGGGTGGGAAGGCCAGAGGCAACATGGGGCTTTGATTCTGTGCATTTAGAGCACCTTCCAGTGTAAAGACATGTACACAACTAAAGACACCATTACAAATGAGAATACCATTACTGAAAATATCAGCATGAAATGGCTAGAGTTGTATATTACAGATCTCAAAGCCAAAGAAATCCTCTGCAGAGCAGCACGGTGAGAATTGTGTAAGTTCTTGGGGCTGCCTTCTGGATTGCTGTAGATCTTTGCTAAAATGCTGTTGAAGACATTTGGATACAAAATCCCTATTTAAAACCTCAATTTTTTAAATAGACAACTGGAGAAATAAACTGGTGGTCTGAATGCTCTGGAAAATTCTATTACACTGATTGCAAATCCTTTCCTACATATAACAGCCAACTCCCTTACAGTGTGTGTAATAGTGAGGGACAATTGTGTCATTACGGGAAAACAAAGTTCATTCCTTCAGCAACATTTTAAAGATACATAAGTCTGTCACTTACGTTGTAAAGAAAAATCACCTAATGGAATTGTACTCTGAGTTTGAGGAATGGTATGCAGAGGTTTTGAAGGGAATTATTCTCCTCTACTCCTTCTGCCTCCAGGAGAGGGTCTGAGTCAGGCCAATTTTCTAACCTTCAGGTGGCCTGCTCTATCACACATTCAAGTAAGATGTGAGTGATTCTCCTCTGTGTGCTTCTACCCTGCCACGATCCTCCATAAAAAAGTCTGGTAAGATTATGGCTGTATGTCCTGGCATGAGGGAGAATGATGCTTTTTGTTAATAAGTACCAGACATTTGATTCCTAGTGACATCTCCATTTCAATGGGCAGCTGACTCTGTGTCTCCAGGGACTTACTAAGACATGCAATAAAGAGAGACTAATTCAGAGTGCAAGTAAGAATAACATATATCTGCATTGAGACTTCAGACAGGGTATGGAGGAGTAAAATTATTAAAACCTATTTCAGAAACAGGCTTACAAAGCTCACCACCTCCATTGGTGACACTAGGATTAATAGGAAGGTCAAGTAATGCTTAGATCATTTGTTTCTTGCACAAGCATGTGTATATGTGTAGATTTCCTTGTCAGAAACAACACAGGGGAACTTGAAAGCCCAAAGGAGCTTTTCCCTCTATAGCAAATAAGTGAATAAAGCCTTTAGTGTGATTCAATAACCACAGTTATGTGGTTCAATAACCACAGTTTTCTAGTTATGGAAACTAGAAAAATCACCACAATCACCACAGCATTTGAAGAGAATATTTAAACAGTGACAGTGGCAATTTTCTAAAGTTAGGCTTTCCAACTAGCCGTCTGCAGACCAAAATCACCAGTTTTGATACTTTTAGGCATCAGAACCAATGTCTAAAATTAGACTGACACAGAAAATCTTGACAAAATGGACTCATCCTTGACCTATTCCTTTATTTCAAAAACCTTCTGTTCATTTAACTTACATACATCAGGGAATGTTGTTGGTATTTGATCCTTTCTCTGTGATTCAACAATGTGGTCTATGTCAAAGGCAACCAAAGAAACTGAAGGAAACTAAAGAAACACCTTCACTGTCTAATCAAGGGAAATGCTTTTGGAGTTACATACTTCAAACAAAAGTGCATCACAATTTCTCAGAACAAAACTGCTTAACTTCACCATAAAGGTAATTTAAACAAGTGTTTTTGCAGTCAACAGTGACTGAAGTTAAGAACCACATTTTTTTACAATTCTCTCATGTTACCCTTTCCCCAGCATTAGGCATTCAAAGCTGGTCAGCTGCTTAGGCATTTAAAAGGTCAATTTGCAAGGTATTTTGGTTTGTTAATTTCCACAGTTAGATAGAATATTAAACCATGTTCCAAATTTACCATGAATCATGTCTAATTTTGCTAGTGCTGAGGAAGCTAATGGAGTGCAATTTCTAAATTAGGGCAAACAGTCAAATTTATAGAACCCTTGATTTTTCACTTGAGCACACAGATTTTTGTCTCTAACCAAACTGTATGAATTTTCTTCAAGATTTTCTGTCCTTGTATCTTTTCCAGCAATAACTTTGCAATGATGTCTGAGTAAGTTTTGATGAATTGTTGATTTGCTTGAAATCTTCATGAATTGTGCAATAGACATTAAAAGGACCAGAAGTTTGGATAGAGCAAATTATTGTGAGTGTATTTTTAGCCAAGCAGACAGCCACAATGGCACAATAAACTGGGATTTATGGCTCTAATGCCTGCTCACTCCAATATTCGCAAGCCTGAACTGTTACCAATACTACCACACAGGCTATTGCTCAGAACACAGGGCCTCCTGTTTTCTCTCTCTTCAAAAACAAAGTCGTGCAGAGGAAAGAAGAATAAGGTCCTTAAAGGAAGGAAAAAAGTGTGAATTCTCAACATGACTGGAATAGAACAACAGATCACTACAAATTAAGCACATTAAATTTTCCCTATATTGCCACATATACAATTCACTAGGACAAAAGCCTATACTCTCTCTGAAATCCTTTTTACATTCACATAAGAAGATGTGCACATTAATGGATCCTGGGATGATTTTTGAAATTCCTTTGAACACACTATGTTTCTCCAGAAGAAGAAGGAAAGTTGCCAGACAAGATCAGGCTGATGTTGAAGAAGTGCCTTTTTACACCTTCTGACCTAGACATACTGTTTAAAGGTAACATTTATCATCATTACTGCACTGTGTACCCAGCAACAGCCTAACGAAAGGTGCAAAAATTCCAGGATGAAGAAGGACATTGTCTTTCTGAAAGTTCAGAGCCTGGACAGCATCCATACTTCTTTCGCTCTGTGAGAAGGAACAAGCCAGGCTCTCTGTACATGTCATTCAGATGGCAAATAATACCAAGTCAAGTGGTGGCAACACCAGAGTCGCAATGCCATGTGTCAGGATTTCGGGCATCATTGATCATATCTCGATGCAATATTTCCCTACTAGATGCAGCTTGTTGCCAGAGTGCAAGTAAACTTCATAAGTGACTGCCACGAGTCAGTCCAGGAGCAGGGAATTGGCAAGTGGCTCAGGCACTCTAGTCTAGGAGAAGAGTAAAAAAGGAGTGTGGCTGCAGCACTGGGAGCAGTGGTGCTTGTTCTCCTGCCTTGAGTGAAAGTAAACAAGTCCATTGTTATCTGACTTTGCCAAACCTCAAAGTATAATGCTAGAAGGAAAAATAAGCTTTACAGAATTGAGCATATACAACTCTTTTCTTCCCTTCATAAATTTTATGTTAGAGTAGCTGAATCTACCAAAGTGTTTACAGTATGCTATATATATAATGGCACATATAAGCTTTGTAAAGGGTTTGGAACATTTCAGAAATGTCTCTGGTGCTGAAAAAGGCTAATGTATTACAAATCATATAATATTTTAATTCAGAAAAAATATGTTTAGGAATTTTGACCTAGCATTAGAGTTAGGAAACTGAACGAGGATGCCATGAAGCGTGACTGACAAATCAGTCAAGCTAGTCTGCTTCAGATACATATTGTGCAAGGCATTATCACTGCGATCAGTCACAAAAAATGCATATTTAGTTTTTTTACATTAAATACTACACCTGTGAACCTATGTAAAAGATATACAAAATATAAATGTCATTGGGACTGTATATTTCAAACTTTTTAAAATAAACACAAAGTATATTTATATATATATATGTAGGCATATAGGTTGTAATTTCAATGTCAACACTAGCACAGTTTGTCTCTTCTAAATACAGGCCAGTATACTTCCTAGTCCAACACATGCACCTACAAACACATGATCATGCATACAGCTTTACGTTCTGCTGTTTGCAGAAAAGTCAGAATATACAGCACTATACATTGTTTCAACTCAAAATTGATCAACAAATTCAGAAAGATGCCGTTCAAAAGAAATTCCTTGTGAACTATTAAAAAAAAAAAACCCAAAACCCAGAGAAAACCAGGGATATCTCTATTTCATCTCAATAAAAACACTGAAGACCATGGTGATGATGACCTAAGATTCAGAATGCTTTGTCCAGCATGTGGTGGGGGTCACTCTTGGACAAAACACAACAGTGTGGAACTGGTTGCTATGACACATACCAAACACAGTCATAGTGAGGCATAGAGCTTTCACAACACTATCCAACCCAGCTCTGGGTTCAGACTACTGAGGTCTCTGACCGAAAGGAGACAGAGTTGTACACTGTTCTTCTCACAGCAGGCGGTGCTGATGGGGATCTGGATGCCCATCTGGAAGGCAGGCGTCGATTTGCTGGCCGAGCGGGACGGGAGAAGCCCTTCTCACTGGAACATTTCACTGGCACACATATCTAGAACACAAAGGCAAGTCCTTGCTTTAACAAGTTGCAGCTTTTGTGGAATGCAGCGGGAATGCAGGAGGACATTTGCGGTGACCTCAGAACAGGTGGTTGGAAGCTATTAAAAGGAGCGCAGCAATGCACAGAATGCAAAAGAACAGCTATTTCTATGTACAGGGATTCTCACATCAGTTGTTGTTTAAAATACATGAAGACAAGTGTCAGACACAAGGAAATGTATAAAGTGATAATGCAAGATAAAATTGACATTTCCTCTTATCTTTTAGTTTCTGTAAGTTTTTTTGTCAATGAATGCTGTAAAATATTCCAAGTGTAGAACTCAGAATACCATCTGATATTACCAGAGTAGGATCTACATGCTTCTCAGGTATTTTTTGATAGATCCTATTTCAGGAAACTCTGTTTCCATTAGTTCAGTGTGAAGCTGTTTAGCTTGGTAACTAATTCAGAATGGTTATGTGCTAATACAGTGTCATGTCTACCAGCACACCCATAGAGATGCAGAGGAAACTCAACAGATTTTGATCATAGCTACATTGATGTAAATTTGAAATAATGAAAATAAACCCAGTGCCTCAAGCCACATGTAGTTCTTTACATCTCTATGACATTAATTCTGCTGGACATAAAATGGTAACTCCTGGTCAGGCAGTATTCCACACTTAGTTTCTACTGATAGAAATGACAATATAAAATGTGAGCCTGTGAAAAAAGTCATTATTCCTTTTCTCCATATTAATTGATGAAAATTTGTTTGCCTGTCAAAAGTTTATTGGATGAAAAAGAAATCAGAAGCTTCACAGCTTTTTTTATTTCTGTGCTGAAGGAAAGATGTGCCTGTTAAGCAAGCCATTGCATCACAGCAAGGCTGTCAGAAAGACATGCAGAAGAAAATCTGCATGATCAGATTCTCAGCTGCTTAAATCTATATAGCTCCACTGAAGTCTGTGAATTTGTGCCAGTTTAAGGCATACCAGCTGACAGCCTGAACCCATTTAAGTTTCCTAGCTCAAAACACACCTGCCTTATCTTTTTTGAGATTCCAAGAGGCATATCTCTTTGTGTTCTTTGTGGACTTTACAGAACCTGCAACTCACATGTTTTCAAACCATCTGTTTGTCTTTTCATTAAGAAAGAATGTTGGCAAAGGCAATATTTCTAAACTTCTGAAAATAAACTTCAACCAAACATAAATTAATTAGTCATGCCATGCTCTTCTGTTTCTGTGAGCCTATGCTTGAATATATAGGAGAAGTTGGAACTGAGACATGAGTAAGAGAAGGTTACTTTATTACTGGAAACTTTATGGAGTCACAATATTCCTTGTCATAGGTAGTTCCAAGGAAAACCTGATCCAAGCAGCACCCTGGATACTGAAAAATGTTATCTAAGACCTCTAGGATTTGGGGCATGGCCAAGTCCTCTTAAGCCCTATGGGAAGTCTTATGACATAAGACATCAGCTAAAGGAAGGAGAGAGGGTGTTAAAACCTGGTTGAAGCTCTCACTAGCGCAATCTTAGCGTAACTGCACTGTAGTAAAAAACTAGCTTTGCAGAACACCAGCAGGGATAAGAATCTGGCACGTCTTCACTGCTCATTCTTACTTACATGCTTCTGCCCTCCCACAGCTCTTAATCTGCAGAGGAAATGCTCCTGATTCATCCAGATCCTGGCCTAAAGTATCTATTTTTACATAATTAGTTACAATATAATATTAGTCTGCCCCATTTAAGAGTCTGAGGCTTGCTATGAAATGGAATTGTTTTACTTTTGCCATTCCTATGAACCTTACCTCTGGTAACTTCTGTCTCTCTTTTCCTTGCTTGAGTTGCTGCCCAATATGCCTGGCTGAATTCCTCGGAAAGTCTTGTTTTTCTTGCTCAATCTGGAGCATTTCTAAATACTGACTCAGTGTCTCGCAACCCCCATTGGTGAATTCAGAATTTGCCTGTGTCCTCTTATCTTTGCAGCATTTTGCATTACACGGAGAAGTCACAGTTGATTTTTCATAGGTTTTCAAAAGCTTTTCAACAACACCATAGTTGGACCTTGAGTCAGCTGAGCGCGGGCGGCCAGATAAGTTACTTGGTCTCCAGTCATGCTCGAGAAGCATGTGCCTATAACCACTGGTATTTGGAAGTCCATTCATGTGTTTTTGCTGCCCTGCTGTCCTGACAGCTTTGCTGGGGTTGTTAGTTTCTTGCTCCTTTGCTGCAGAGAGCTTGGGATTTGAAACACAAGGCGTATTTACAGTTTCTGCCCTGCTAGCAGCAGAGTCACATGGCGGACCACACGGTTTGTGATCTTCTGAGGCTGTTGGAGGCACCTGATTTTCCTGCAGAGCATTGTTACGTTTATCTGTGTGAAATACAGTCCGATTAAACTCATCAATCTTTGCTGCTAGCGTTTCATTTCTTTGGGTCTTTCCCAAAGGATACCTGGTGTCTTCCAAAAGATCATTGTGCGAGGTAGCAGGGGCATAAAAGTCATTGCTGTAAAAAGGGCTGCTGTGAGACTTGGTGTTTTGTTTCTGATGCATCTTGTTGCTTTGGGCCATATTTCCATCTGAACAACTCTTTTGGGCTGACAGTGGGGAAGGCTCATTTTTATTGTCCTTTCCAAGCTTGCCCATATCATATGCCCATGTGTTGTGGCAGAAGTTTGTTGGAACATTGCACTCATTTTTGGTTACAGGTATTGAAGCAGTTACCATCACAGGAACTTTCACAGCCTGCCCTTCATTTGCACAGGCTACTGCAGATTTATTTTTGTTTGCAGGTGAAGGATTCCTCAGTTTCCCCCCATTCCAACAATCCTGAGCCTTGCAGTTGCTTTTGATGCCTGGATCTCTTATGGGTGCTTCTGAAAGCTGTATGACTGCAGAAAGTGAGTTTGTTAGGTGCCGAGAAGTGCTCCGTGGAGGAACTGGTGGAGCTTCTTTCTTTTGCCAAGGTCTGAAATCTGTTCCTATGTCACCAGTAAGACTACCATAAGAAATGTCCTTCAAAGCCTTGGTGGAGCTCATCAGATTCTTCCTATTATTATGTTGCTCTGTTTCAAAAGCAACTGAAGTCTGTGAATCATTGCTGGACACATGGTTCATCTCAGGCAGGATAACTGTGTTTTGGGTTTCCTTAAATTCCCCCAGGAAAGGAAGTGACTTCATTCTGCAAGTAACAGAAGAGGTGTTTTAGGGATGAGCAATAAGGAACATTCCAGAGAACCTCAGCATGGATTAATTCTCCCCAGAAGCAGGTGTTTTAACACTGGCTACTTCAAAAGGTTTGGGAGCAGTTTTGCTGCAGCTGGTATACCCAGCACAACCGAAACACACACAAAAACTTGAGGAAAGGTCAACAAAAGGAATTTGCATTCCTTTGCTTTGATACTAAAATTCTTTTTCTGAGTTTCTTAGATGATGACTTTTTTGTCTCTGCTACAGTAAGTACAGTAGGATCTTGTTCTAATGACTCCTAGGAGTCTACCTGACTATGAACTGAATGAAGAAAGCTGTAGGACAGTGTATCCCTTGTTTAGATTCATAACCTTACACATGAGATCTGCCTTTTGATATATGATAAAAAAGCATCTTTAAAAGTTATGCATCAGCTATGAATCCATTTGCTCTAAAGATAAAAAGAGTAGCTAAAATAATGAATTAGTGACAGACTTTTAACTGATCACATGGTGGAGTGTGAGAAATCCCTCTGACTTTTGGGGGGAACTGAACCATCTGAGAAGGTTCAGTTTTACCTGAGAATTTCTGCACAACTCAAGATGCAGTCTGGTGTTTAGCTTCCTAGAGAAAACAATGAACACTGAATTTTTAACAGATGATGGAATGTTCACTTGCCATACTTTTCAGGGTCTGACTTGACATCTTTCCATTAGTACAGATGTATGGTGGTTCTTCCCTCTCCTGCTTTCTTTCTGCTCTTGGGTCATCAGTTCCTGACACATTCCCCATGCTTAAGGCTAGATTTGGGCTTTAAGTAAGAAATTTCCAGCCTGACAAACCCACACAGTGTTGTATAAAACTACATGGCAATGGGGCCAGGGTAGACAGAAATACCTGTTCACTTTCCCAATCCTCTGTACAGCCATTAGAAACAAATACAATTTCATCTCATATAAATACTAATCTGAATTTGTATGCTCTGTATATAAAACCCATTTTCCCAGTAAAACCTGCCTTTGTATCATATTTCAGCATATTTCATTTGAATATTTTATGCTGAGCACTGAAACACTAGGAGGGTAAGAACTGCCCAACTAATAAATCCAAAAGCAAACCTGCCTTCAAAGTGAAAAGCATAAGGAGAATTATTCATTTCCTTTCTCTAACATAAGAAGACTAAAGATGTTTTTACCTTCTGTGATTAGACTTCTTTCGAATTTCCTCTTGATAGCTGCATAATTCTTCACTGACTCTGGCAAGTTCTTTAAGAGCCTTTATAAATATAAAAACAGGCCTTTAATATATACATTTAAAATGGTATCTCCAGAATTAATTTGAAACTTGTGGTCATTTGCATTTAAGAAGCAAAGCAGAGGGAAGTAGTATGAGAAAAGATACAAAAATGCCCCCACCTTATGAACACAGGTAAAGAGCATGCTGTTAACACATTCAAACAGTGAGAAGACACTCATTGATAGCAAACCTAGGAGCAAGTAGAGACAATGACTTGTGGAAAGCTAAAATCAGGGAGATCAGTCCTTTAGCTTAACCTGGCAGGCCAAAGTCCTCAGTGCTTTCCTCCCCCTTGTAACTGCAACATGCTCAGTACTTACTACATTGAGATCACCAATATAATTCCTGGTATTTTGCTCAGAAGTTTTAATGGTGAGGCTGTCTTCAGGTTCTTCATGGTTCTCAAAGGCCAGATTGTCCATTAACAGAATATTGTTTCTGCTCTTGTTTCTGGGCTCCTTCCTTTCGTGTCCTGTTACACCAAGCAGACTCCCTTTCTCCATTCTGTCGTTTGCCACATTGTGTTGATGGTTCAGCTCTGCTGTGTCACTCTCTTGCAAAGTAGGACAATGCATGGACAGTTGCAGCATCTTGCTCTGAATGGCCTTGCTATCATGGATGGTCATATTGCTTTCCCTTCTAAGTTTTACTTCCTGGTAAAGCTGAAAAGGCAATAAAACCTTCTATTAATTATGGTATTGTAATGAGCTTTATGGCAAGGCCCCCATATTTATCTTCTGTTTTGAATGATGCTTACTCAGCAGCACTGATTAGAAAGATTCTGGATGTGTTAGGAAAGTGCTGAGTTATCAAGTGTGACGATTCAAACACCAGGATTGCCACAGGATAAGGCTGTTACCATTCTCAAACTCTCTGCCATAATTTTAATGTATGGCTTCCACCTCTGGCTGGGTCTGGAAGAGATCTCACGAGATAACTGGCCCTGCCTTGAGCCAAAAGATGCAGGGTTGTTTTCCAAGTAATATCAGCACACTCTGTGGTGGACACAACTGTTATCTGATGGACAGGGAATGTGGGGGAATGTGACAGAGAGAGAGTGTTCTGGCTATGCTACAGCCTATTAAAACATATTATTTGAAAGAGAGGAAGTGAATTCTCATAAAATACAGTGCCATCTGCACTAGAGCAGACTCCTTCAGTTCTCAGACAAGTGGAATTCTTCCCTATGACTTGAGTGATAAATCAGTACTGCAGAATGGTATTATTTGGCAATGTGCTGTCACCTTCTTCTTTCATGTTATCTGCTGAGATCCAGTGACTTCATTAGTAAATGGTGTTAATTCTGGTCACCCAGCACATTCAAACTAGGAACTGTGATAAATTATAAATTAGAAAAAATGGTAACATCATAAAAATCTCTTCTACTTACAGTATAATTTCCAGTACCAAGAATCCCACAGTTCTGTATAAACATTCATTCTTAACTTGCTCTTTTGAAGAAAGCACACAGGCACCTCTGAGCAGCCATCTGCCTGCCCTCTCCCAGTGCACAAAGCCATCACAACAGCTTTTGGAAGGACAGTGGAAAAGAATAACAACATGCAGAACATGTGGCCATTTCATGGGCAGTGCTGTGGGTTAGAAGAATTCTCACGTTCAGGGACTTAACACTTGACCTCATCCTGGGTTTCCAGATTTCACTCCCAAAGCCCAGCTGCTCATGGAAACTGAGGGCTGAACTTTGCCATTTCCAAGAAATAAGAGCCTCATATGGATTCAGCATACCAGTAACAAGAAAGGATACTACCCCATTATATCTCCTAAACCCTACCAGTCTTTCTGGAGGAATTAAGTTAGGTTTGGTGGGCTAGAGAAAACTGCCAAATTAAAATACAAGCTGAAAAGTAAGCACAAGTTTTATTGAGGAAATCCTTCTACAGATAATGGCATTTAAAAGGTATCTATCTCTCCTTTTCTCCAGCCACGTGGCTTGTGGAGAAGAAATGTCAGGCATCTGAAATCAGCAGCAGCTATAATCACAGCTTAAGAGGGGACCTTAGGATTCCAATAACCTTGAGGTATAATCTGTAGTTTTGTTTGGCCCTGCCGTAGCCAGCAAATTGCTTCATTCTTTTCCTTTCAGCCCCATTCCACTCTTTATCTCTTTCTCTTGTTTTCCTAATCTCTGTGCTAATAAAGAACATGATGAAAACCGTCCTTACTGACATTGTCAGTTCTACTAATAGCCAGAATACCTTTTCATTACTGTCATTCCAAATCAGCTCTTATACCTAAGAAAATGAAATTCAACTACACATACAGATCACATGACGAACTTTTGAAGCATTCTCAGCTTGGCAGTGAGATTAGGGAAGACTGCACAGAAAAGTCCTAACACAAAAGACAAAATGTGGCAAAGACCATCATACAAAAGTCTGAAAGAATTGTGGGTAAATTATAAGAGAGTTGACATTATGGAGCTCTGCTGCAGGCTGGTTTAATGGGCAGTATATGGCTGCAGTTCCTTTGGCTTTGACCACTTTCCTTCTCAGTTTCATGTGAGCAATCTCTGCCATACATTCCTGTGCTGCTCAGCCACACAACAGTGCTGGCAGAGAGCAAGTGAAACTACTCCATGTGTATATTAGATGAAAAATGTGGAAAGCTCACTAATGAAAAAACTTGCCTCCACAGGCTGCCAAGCAGACTCAGTTAATGCATTAGAGAGTGTCAGAGGGTTTGGCTGCAGGGACAATTTGGGGATAAAAGAATAATAAATAATTGCTGTGACTATTTCTGGAAGGAGATGCACTGCAAATAGCAAGGACCATTTGCTAGTATCTGTAAACAAAAGTGGTTTCAGAACTTTCATGCTATTTGCTGTACCTGTTTTCTCTCCCAAGAGTCATCCATAAAAGGAACAGGTTCTAGCCAGAAAAATTCTGTGTCATGCAGTATTTCATATATATATTATTTTTAATATTACCATTTGCCCCAGCAACCTGTGCCATCTAAAGCCTTTTTGCTAGAGAATTATGATACCTAAATTTTTGTTACAAAATATGCATTTTCTAAACCACATATTGTTCAGTGTTTACTTGAAAAAAGCATGTATAATATAGGCAACGTGGCTCATGTCCATGACTGAATTGTCAGCAGTAAGTACAGGCAATAATCTCAAAGCTCACAAAGCCACCTTCACCTCCTACCTTATTCATGACTATTAAATGAGCAATTGCAAATACTGCTTTATCCCAGGATTTCCATCCTTCTATCAGCTGTTAGAAACTTCCAGTGACACATAATAAATAGGGTAAAATACAGAAAAAAAACTTGAAGCGACTCAATGTCACTTCAGGCCAAGTGAAAATGGTAGTCTGGATTTTTGTTTAAAAGTACCTCTTCTATTTTCTTCTGCATGACCTTCCATTGACATTCCCATTCTTTCCTTTCATTGTCAAATCTCTCCAGCAGTTCCATTTTTTCTTTATTCCAGTTCCTCTCAGTATTCTCCAGTTGTTCACGCAGGTCCATGGCTAAAGTCTGTGCAACAGCAAAGACAGCTCTCCTTTTTTTCTTTCTTCCCTGAATGTTTCCTGGAAGTTTAAGAGAATAAGTCTTCCTTATGCTTTATTCTAGCTTTCAGGGAACAAAGACAATCAAGAAAATTCCCAAAATTATTAATTGAAAGGAGCTTGCAGGAGACAGTATTATTCAATTGATATTTGTTTGGAGTGTGACTCAAATGTGGAAGAACTAAGCATTATAGGACATAAACCCAAAGGCAGAGATGCCCAGTCTGGAGAGGGGAGGTGGAACACATTCAGCATCACAGAATTCAGTAACATCTGCCACAGCAGGCTCTATATCATGATCACTTTGCATCTTTGCCATTACTCTTTGCTATAAATGTGTTTTCCATGAACTTGGGTCTGTACAATATTGAATGGCACTTCAGGACCTTGGGATCCTGCAACATCTGCCCTTGAGGGTGAAAGCTATTTTTATATTCGTTCAAAAGACAACTGTAAAAGTATCACGTTTGCTCACGCACTCCCTGCACGCATGCAAGGAGCACGACAAGGACTGGTACATTCTTTTGGCAATTGAGGACTGCAAAGTTAATATACTCAGGGAATTCTCATGGCTACATGAATGCTTTGGAATTCATGAAGGAAGATAGGACAGGAAAGTTAGTAACAGGTACAAACACATAAACAGTAGAAATCAGTTATATAGGAGGGACAGAAGGTCGCCAGAAAGGATTCAAGAATTTTGGATTTACAGATCTAGATCTATAGATGTTAGTTTCAGGATCAGTATGGGGAGAACTAGAAAATATTCTTCAACAGCACTAACTCCAATCTAGTTCAAAACCTTTCTCAGAATATTTGACTAATTAGTGCTTCAGTTTCTTCTTTCCCTTTTGAAGTCCTTAGCAAAAACTTTAGCCAAAGACAGTCTTTAGCCTTTAGTGTCTGTAAATGAAAAAAATATTAATTGAACCACTAAATTGGCAAGCTTTAAGGGAAATATTTTAGATCTGCTAATCTGATTTTGGAGCAAAGAAGTTACAAATCTTATGGGCCTGGTGATCCTCATGCTTCCTCTTGCTTTCTTGGGTTTTACACTGGAAAGCCCATTACCATCAGCACATTTACTATGCCAGCAAGATTGAAATAACACTCATTAATTCAGTTATGATGGCTTCTGTGATATAATGTCTGGTACAGAGGCATTGATACTTGAGTTTGCTAACTTCAGCTCTCAGAGCCAGTTGTTATGTTACCAGGGTGGTCATGGAATCTAGTTCTAGTAATAAAATGCCTCTGCATTGCTTTCTGCTCCTGTCAGAAATCAAATACATAGGAGATTGAATTATCACAGAGTTAACTAGGAGTAAACCTTTCTGCAATTTGTTCATTTCCCTGACTGATGATCAGTGATTGTCAACTCACAGGAACTGCTGATTTTACTGCCCACATTTCCTATGATATAGTAAAAATTCATTCCTGAGCCAAGTTCTTCCCCATCCCTTATGTTACTGGCACCTCTTGTTGATTTAGCTGTGGTTACCATGTAACCACCATTTACTGTGTCTGCTTTATTTCAGCTGACTGGGAAGACAATGTCAAACTTGCAGTCAGCTTCTTTCACGGACAAGTAAGCAGAAGAGCTCAGATGAAACCAAACAGGTTACTAAGGTCTTTGGGTCATAGGAATTCCTCCCACAGGATCTCCCAAGCCATCACAGGCCCAGCCCTAACTCAGGGCTTGCAGAACAGTTTGCCCCAAGTGCCTGCCTTGGAGCTCTGAAATGACAATCTGTCCCTCAATTACCTACAAATAGATTTCAAACCCTTCTTCTTTCCCCTGCCTAAAAACATACAGAGCAACTTCTTAAAACCATAAACCACCTTGAAACTAGGAGCTGCTGAAAGACAGCACAGAATTCTCATCAAAAAAGAAGCCAAGTACTGGTTTGCTCACGGCCTCTTAGGGAATGCAGCCAGGCTACAGAGACTGCACCTCTCCAGGCCAGAGTTTCAGCTTTGTGCCAGACTCCAGTAAGCGTTGACCAAAAACAACTTGCAAAAAAATTCTATTACACTTAAGATCCATTGCAATCTAAACATCTATTGCTAATGAACTTTAGGAATATTGCAGTACTTTCTCACCTTGCTAATTCAAAGGTTGCAATCTTTAGTACCGCCATTTGATTTTTTTTTCTACGTTTATGTCTTTATAAACTTTCAGGATACCTCTGAGAAATAAACAAAAGCCAACTCTCCACTCCACTATAATCCTTACACAAATACATGTCAGAAAAAAAAAAGAAAAACCCCTATGTGTAAATGCTGTACAGTCATGAACAAGACAGGCAGACATAATCTGTCAACAACTTGCACAAATGGTGATTTTGCTAGTGCACTATTAGCAATAATGACCATGCTTTAGTCAGCCACATATTACTAGAAAGGTCAATACTTGTTTTTACACACATAAGAACAGATATAATATGTACTCCTTTTAAGCATGAATATAGCACTGAAAAGGCCTCTGGGGCTTCCTTAGTGCTGGAAACTACTATTGCCGTGTTGGCATTCATCTTAACAATTTTCAAATTGTTTCAAATGGAACTCCAATTATAAAAAAAGACTGAAGACAGTCAGAAGGAAAGCAAGTCTTGAAAGAGGATAGTTACAGAAGTTACAGATGGTCACTTGTAGCTCTAAGATCCACAAAAGGCGTGTATTGTTTCTTAGTCTTCTCTGATTTCCTCTTGACATAAATTCTGAGAAGAAAACTCATGTTTATTGATATTAGCAGCTGGATGACTATACAGCTTTGCTGCACTTTTACAGTGGATCAGTTCCTCAGAAACTTTGACTCCCATTTCTACTTCTCTTCCCCCCCACTTTCTCTTTTTCTTGGTGTTTCCTTTGCATTTGTTTGGGGTTATTTTGGTAGAGAACATTGTGCAGTCCTGGTAATACACCCTCTGTGTGTATAGTGCACTGAGATTTCCCCATGGGTATTTCACATTGCTAAAGCAACCCAAGGCATGTAAAATGTCACATTGTCATTTGCTCTGTGGATCAGAACAATATCTGTGCTCTTGCAGTATTGGCAATTTCTCCATGTCCTAGACAAGGTCAGAAGCTCATTACAGCAATCAAATTAAGCAAATAATCAATTTTGTCTGCATCAGCTGCATTTTGCTTTAACTTTTCCCTTAGCCCTTCCTCCTCTCAAGAAAAAATGTTTTAAGCCACTATTTGATGTTAGTCATTATTCCCCCATATCTTACCCTTTCTAGCCAGATATTAAAAATGCAAAATAGTTTGCAAACAACCTCTAGCAACTTCTGAAAATAATCAGCTTGACATCAGCTGAGATATTATTTTTCAGCAGAGTTTAATCAGATTGGATGTGCATAATCATTCAGATACACAAATCTTCCCTTCTTTTTACAGAAAAAAATGCAATCAAATTATATTTCCAAATAAGTACTGTATTTTGGATGACTAAGAAAATTGTAAACGTATGTATTTGTTCAATTATAAATGTGTGCCATGTGTCATGACAACATGCACTTTATACATTAAAAGAAAGTACAGTTGAGTGAGAGAAGGGATAGAAAAGAGGGAAAATGAGGAAGAAAGAGAAAGAAAAAAGGGAAAAAGAAAAAAGAGAAAGAAAAGGTAAGGAAAGAAAAGAAAAGAAAAGAAGAAAGAAAGAAAGAAAGAAAGAAAGAAAGAAAGAAAGAAAGAAAGAAAGAAAGAAAGAAAGAAAGAAAGAAAGAAAGAAAGAAAGAAAGAAAGAAAGAAAGAAAGAAAGAAAGAAAGAAAGAAAGAAAGAAAGAAAGAAAGAAAGAAAGAAAGAAAGAAAGAAAGAAAGAAAGAAAGAAAGGAAGAAAGAAAGAGGATTCAAGTGCACACAATGCTGTCATCCCTGTTCTGTTAATATATCTCTGCCTGCACTGAAAAAACTAACTGAACTTTAAGAATAAAGACAATGTATAACATATATGAACTTCACATTACATATAAATAACATCAAGAGGGATGTTTAAATAACTGTTTGCCACATCTGAAATTTGCCTTCTTTTATAATCTTAACTGTTCAAAAACATTGATTTGAAATAAACTGCAACCATACCTTTCATGGAATAAGAAATCCTTTAGGAGTTTTTCAGTCCATTTCCAGGCAGCAGAGAAAGCAATGAAACACACAGCTAGCAGGGATCCTGTTCTGTGAATCTTGATCTTTAAAAGAAGTAAGAAAACTAAGCAAGACACAACCTTTCAACTGGGGCAGCATTTGCAACTCTCTTTGAATAAATGCTCAACTTTTGCAAACTGGAAAACAGTTCCGTTCAGCATCATCCCCGCAGCTGGCTTCCACGTGACGTCAGTGCACGGAGGATGGTTTTAAAGCCATCTCTTCCAACCCCCAGCTTTGTAACTTTATATCTCCTCATATTTTGTGTAAACAACTCCAACTCCGGGACATTTTTAGGCTTTATAGTGCAGTCCAGTCTTTAAAGCTTGCCGAAGCAGCTAGTGTTAATATCAAAGCTGTGACAATAGGCAATTTTCGCTTTCTTTTATTGTTGTCTATGCTGTAAAGGAAGATTTTTGCTGTCTTCCAGACCCCATTTTCAGGGTTATATTTTTTAGTATGATCATTTTGAGATTTGCAACTTGATCCTCCTTAACTGCTTTGTAAAAGGAGTTTTGTTTAAAGCAGAGGTTTTGTTGGTTAACAGCTATCCTAAAGAGCTAAAATCAAACCACTCCTCCCTAAAATCCCTTTCTGTATTCTAAATGTGCTCTCAGTTATGAAATGCAGAATTATTGGGCACTGTGTAATCCTACTGTCTTGCATTCTGGGAATGGCAGTAACAGTTTCTTTGGGATACACCCAAATATTCCTGATACTTTATAGTGTTTCTGGATCAGATTCTACAGTCTGTTAATTCACTTTGTATCTCAGCAAAGCAAAACACTTGAAATTGGATGAAGAATCTCTCTTGAACAGGGAAACTCATCTCTGGCACAAGGCTGGTAAAGAAGGTCCAAAAACACCTTGGGCTGGATATAAATCCCTAGGAGTGTCCACAGCAAGTGTTGGCATGGGATGAGGGAAGGGAGCGTGACAAAAGCGTCCAGCAAGCAAAAGTCCACAGGAGACCCTGAAGCCAGAGCAGCAAAATTCAGCTGCTCCCCCTGCTGAGCCGCAGGCAGGAGGAGCCCAGCTCACTCCTCAGGTCTCTGACCACCACGATAACTCCCCTGCTGCCCCCTGGGTTAAACTGCTCCCATTTTTTGGCAGCCCGAGAGAGACCCCCGGGGGAAAGCCTCGCACACACCACCCTGCTGGGCACTGATTGGTGATTGGGTGTGTCTGCAGGCAGCAACTGAGACAGGCAGCAAATTCACCTTTCAGGGAACATTTTGCCCCATACGTGCCTGGGGAAGGGCCACAAAATACTTGATTGAGGCAGCACAAAAGTGGACAAATCGCGCTGTCAGACGGATGTCTTGGAATGCCCTAAGCAGGAACATATTTCTGTGGGCAGTGCAGTTTATGACAAGAGGATCAGTGAGAAAAAGGGCACAATATGAGGATTCACACATCCTTTGCTTAGTCAGCACTCTCCTCGTTAGAACAGCAAGTTTTTATCTGACAAAATCCATTATAAAATCCAGTATAAAAATTTTAACTCTGGGTGCATTTTATAGTAAATACCAAACCAGGTTTCAGGGAATACACATTTTTTCTCCTTATATGGTCTAGCTGTAAGTCTCAGCGAGAACATTAATTGGGTGCTTATTCTGCTCACATGTAACTTAAATAATGGGACTTGGGCTATTTGTGAAAATTGTAAAGATGATCTAAAAATTGAACAAATAATACCCCAAGTACACAACTGAATGTTTCTGAAGAAAATCCTCAGAGTCTAAACTCTGAGGATTTAAATCTAAAGAAACAGTATGACTTTCTTTTGTGAGGTTAGGTCTCAAGTGCCAGCTGACATGGTTGGAAGTGAAGCTGGAGTGCTTGGGAGCAGAGCTGAGCCCACAGCTGGAGGCCAGGCATCAGCGCACTGCCTCCTCCCTGAAGCCAGCACAGCTGCACTACTGCACATGGAGGCAGACTCTTCAGACATGTTTTTTTACTCTATTCCATCAACAGAGGCTATTATTCTTGTGTCTTTAATATTGCTAACTCCATGCCTCTTGTCTTGCTACGTGCACTCTTTGAAGTAAAAACAGTAAAAATAAATAAAACAATGGGCTAAATCCCAGGCTTGAGTTCTCAGTCAGGCAGAAGGCTTCATTTCTGTCAGTGTGAGGAATTAGAAATGTGAGAGAGTCAGGGGCTCATTAGGACACAAGCACTAGACACACCTCATAGGTCAAAGGAACACATTAACTTCATCCTAATATGGAAAAGGTGAGACAAAGAAAACATGAAGTGAATTGTAAAAACATGGGATCATTGTTCTATATACCCTTAAATGTAGCAGTAGAGAATTCTGCTTTTGAGGCTAAGAAATTATTCAAGAGAGACTGTCCCTACTGCCCCTTCTCCAGCATCAGCAGACAAAGCAGCAAATGTAGCTTCTTGGTATCTGGCACAGATAAAATAAGCAGGAAGACTACTGTAGGCTTATTACATCCAACATATTGTTTCCACAGGAAAAGTATATTTTGTCCATATCTGGTACCATCACTGCTTGAGTCAAAAGTCAGCACCTCAACAAAAAAAAGCTGCAAGGGCATTTTAAACAAGACCTCTGCTAAATTTCTCTTCATCATGCAAGACTGGAGACAAAGCAGCATGAGTTTCAGCATGAGCTATAATCTGATCATATACTCAGGGCAGTGGCTAATAAAATCTACTGAAGACTACTTCACAGCATCTTTGGCTGTGCTGCCCCAGCTTGGTTATGGCACACCCATTCTGCTGTGGCCACAAAAGCTAGTGACAAAAAGGAAGAACAGCACTGCTGCCACTGCAATCAACCCAACCTCACCAGTAGATTCCTGAATGATGTACACCTTGATAATCCTGGTATATACACCTCGGGAGTGGCTATATACAATGGGAAATGGGCAGAAGGGAATACAAACTCTGTCTCCTCTTACTCCTATTGCTTCTCCAATAGGATATAACTCAGTGGAGAGGCAGAGCCAGCTAAGTGTTATGTCATGTCGCTGCTCCAAGGTTACATTGGAAATCGGTGGCAGATACTTTAGATGTTTACTTTAAATAGAGCCACCGTAATTTTCCCCATAGGCAACTGCATGTGTAATGGCAAAAGTTGGATTTGAATATCACTTCCCCTGGCATTAAATCAGAGACAGAAATGTAAGCCAATGGGAACTACGTCCCTGATACTGATGCCTTTAGAAGTCTCCTACTCACCTATCAGATTCCGGGGTGACTAAGGAGAAGGGCATGTAATACCCTGAAGCTCTGCTTGTTTTCGTAAACAACTCCTGAAGTTCATGTGCAGTTCATCTCTTTTTATAACACATATCTAGACAGCCACGTTTTTGGCAATTTTCTATTTTCCAACTGCCAGGCATATTTCTGCACTATAGCACCTGCTCTCTTCGAGTTTTGATTCTGAAGCACTGGTGACATGTGTCAGCAGACACTTATTCTATCTCTCAACTGGAGCTTCAGGCATGGATATTTTTGGTTGAAAGAAGTATTTCCGAGCCTGGAGAAAATGGTCATTCTAACATAATGGGAATTTTTCAGTAGCAGTAAGAGAGAATATCTGTAGAGGGATTTTGTCAGGGCATTCAGAGCCAGCTCTAAACAGGAAACTAATTTAATTGAATTTTTCTGGTAGCATTAAAGGAAAAAATGCACCTATTCCCTAAATTACATAAAAATTCACTGGAGATAGTGCCAATTTCCACAAGTGAAACAATATCATAATTAGATCTACAGAAGGAAGATCTTTTCCTTTTGAAAGAATACTGAATAAATCCCCTGGGAACATAGGAAACAGAAATTTAATATACCAGGGAAGTGCTAAATTAAGGCAATTTCACGGTTCAAATTCAATGGCTTTTTTCCCCTGGAACATTAATACTTCACCAGAATATTCCAAAATGAGAGCTGTAAATCTGCTAAATGAGATTTCAACTGATAGGTAACCTGGCATATCCAGCTCCTTGCCACATGCAAACAAAACCTGTATTCTTCTTACTGTTTGTCTTCAGAACTCCGAGCGGCGCAGCCAGAGGAATCAGTGAATCAGCAGTGCCCTGCCTGACTCCAATGCACTCCTGCTAGAGGATGCTGATGTGTTCAGCTGCATTTGCTCACTCACCTGTGAGATGGTCTTCACCCACCAGGCCAGTTACTGAGTGGGGAGAATCTGCTTTCTTTCTTGGCAAGTATAATTACTGCATTTCGTAATATCAAGTTATTTCAATTTAGCAAGACATAGAACACATATTTCTTTGGCTAGATCTTATCTTCTGGCTATGGATAAATGGCCATACTCATTCTGTTAGCTTTCTCAGCATCTTTTAAAGTTGTGCAATATCTGGCATGAAACAGATCAGCAGCTCAAATCACTCCCTTCAACCTGAATGCAAAAGGACAAGAAATACACATCTCATTTCTCACTGAGATTTCTCTGTGAGGCTCCTCGCCATTCTCCTTGCTCATGAGAGATTCAAAGACTGTCTGGAGCTTCTAAAATAATTTTGTATGCTTTAGTGTGCTTTAATTTCAGACTGCTGGTTGTGCAATAGCTCCCTAAATGTCCCAAAAGGTCTCAGCTTTGATTTTGCTTTGTTGATGCCTGATAGAAATCTCCAGCTTTTATGCAAGAAAAAATACAGTGAGAAATCAATGGGGATGTAATTGCCAGTGCTGTGCAGAGATTATCCCCACCTTTCATCAGTAATTCATTCTTACCTTTTCTGATTTCTGAGAAAAAAACAAATCTTTCCCAATTAATTTACAATGTATGAATTCAGTGTGTTACTACATTAGAGTGTTACTGATACACTCTTTGTAAATCAAACCTTCTCCACTCATTTTTGTTACATACAACACCAAGAAAGGTATAAGCAAATGTGGGTTAAAAACTGGAAGCCCAGAACTTCAGATCTTAGATTAAGTATGACTTTTTCTCTCTTAGGGAAATTGAGTCAGTAATATTTAAGAAAACACAAATGATTGGTTTTTCCTCCACAGGAGATACTAAAGCAGAAAGAAACTGTAAAAGTCAATCTTGTGCAAAGATTTGGTATGACAAGTTTAAGCCTCAAATTGTTGTATTTTTAATGTGCAAATTGCAAATCCATGGGGGGAAAAAAAACCCTCTAGTATTTCCAGCAGCTGCTGAAAAACAAAAGGCCTTTTCCAGTTATGGAAATTCACTGTGAATTATGGCTTGATCATATCTTGCCATAATAGTTTTTAATATGTGGAATTTAATTTTAGGTAACTGCATAAATTATAGCATCTTAGAAACTCCTCAGAATTACTTTGGGCCTGACTTTATCCTTTGCTGGGAAAGTAGTCAAAGCTATCTATTAATCTCACATATATTGATTATAATTTCCTTTATACATCTCCCTAACTATAACATGGATAATGATGACAACACCCTAGTAGGAATAAGTATTTGGATTAAATCAAGGAGTTGAGTGATTTAGCTGATCAAGGTTACTGCACCTGCAGAGGGTGTTGAGGGAAAGCTAGACAAAGAGAAAAATACTGTACTTTTTAATAATGAAGATTTTTACTATTTTTTTTCACTCACGTGACAAAAATTTTATTGCCCCACCTCTTGCTGCTCTCTGAGGATTTTCCCTCAAAAATGGTGTCTCAGCTATTTCAAGTAGCAGAGCATAACCTAGGCATGGAGATGAACTGTTCTCACTGGGGAATGCATTAAGTGAACAGAGAGCTAACATGATAAATCAAAGGTAATCCTTACCACTAGCTAGAAAAACAGCTACTTTATTTATTACCACTCTTTACCACTACATTATTCAACATGGAAACTGCAGAAAAAGAAGTGTCATTAATACACACACTTGTTCACCTTTCGAGAATTCATATTTGTGGGACTCAATGGTTTCAGCATGGGTTGAATGAAACAGAAAAGTGAGCTCCATTGGGCATTTCAGATGAGGTTTTCATAGTGGGAGATCTACTGCTTGTAGGAACTGCTATATAAGTGTGAAAGAAAGAAATTAGTCAACTGTACTCTTACTTCAGCCTCTCCCAGGCGAGAAAGCAATATTCAGCGACTACTGATGCACACCCATGTACAGAAGCTTCCCTCACCACGGGCACTGGCTACCAATGGCACGGTTAGACAGGGGTCACTCAGCAAACCAAGAGTTGCCACGTCCATTTAAAAATCCTGCTCAAATCTGGGGATGTAGCATGGCCATTTTTCTAGAGCACAGAGAGAATGCAGCCAGCCTCTATCTCTCAGAAGACTCCTCAGCTACTCTGATACCTTCTCCTCATGCTTCTCATTCTCAGAGGCTCCAGCTCCTGGCCACCATTGCAGATATAGTGCTCTATACACCAACTGTTTTGACTGGGACCTAATGCACATAATGGAGTGCTGAAAAACATTATCATCACCATTATGCAAAATATACATACAAGCTCTGATATAAAACTGCAGAATACACACACAAAGTGGCATTACCATTCATATGTGGCTAGAATACAAATTCTTTTTCTAGGAGTGGGGAGAGGAAAGTAACAGAGTCCTCACACCTGCACTGCATTTTTTTGTTTTGGTGCAAATTAAGGAATATTAAATTGGTTCACTCCTCAGGAAATTTTTATTCAAAAATTATAAAACCAGACAAAGTAAAAAACTAATTTTTTGCTTGCTTACCTGGAATACCACAGTGGGCAGGTTTCCTATTCAACTGGGTAACTTTTTGGTATGTTTTTTTTCAGTTCTTTTGGTTTGGCTTTGGTTTTGGCAAACAAGTAGTCTTCAGTGTTTTTACAGCAGTGGATATTACAGAAACTATGTCTCTTGCACTTCTTATCTTGGAGGGTGGACAAAATAAACAAACTGAAAATAACACTACAATGAACAGTAAATGATGAATGACTTACAGTACAAAAAACAGTGTAAAAAGGAAGACAAGTTTAAATATTGTTGTGTATGAAAGGGATGAAAATAATACAAGGATGAGAATAAGTAAAATGATAGGCTGGAACATCTGGGAAAGTAAATACAAAGACAAAGAGAACAGTCAATTAATGGAATAGCAAGTCCAAAGTTTCAACAAAATAAATAGTGAATCAGAATATGCTTGTGGAGGGACCAAGTGCCCATCTCCCATTTACTTCAGTAGGAGTTCTGCATGGTCAAGCCCTGAAATGTCCAATTGTTAAATGTTCAATTTTATTATTTGTTTAGAGAAAATACTAATTAGTTTGTTTTAAATTTGTGTAGGTCCATGCAGTGATCTGCCTTTAAGCCAATGGGAGCTCTACAAGCTCAGAACTAGTGCTAGATCAGAAAGTGAGCATGCTAAATGCCATCTCTGTTTGATTTCATGCAATACATGTATAGTAATTGATTAGCTTTAAACTCACTGCGTCTGTGACTTTCTGATACAAGGAAACAAAAGACTAATTAGTCAGCATAGGAATAAGAATAGCTTTCAGCTTCACCTGGCAACTACTTCAACTGTAAACTAGCAAGACAGCACAAAGTAAATTAACACAGCAAGAGACTTACAAAACATTGGATAACTTCATTAGCAATAACAAGATATGCCAACTATAGGATTGCATGATAAGATAAGGGTAGGTAATTTTCATTTTTCATGGCAAAAGATCTTGAGTCAGCAAGGAGTTTGCTCCCCAAAACCTCTCTGAAACAATTCTGTACAAAAACAAACCACAACAAAGACGCTTGTTACTGCTGCATGCAAGCAGTGATTAAAAGGCCTTCAACAAGATGCAATCTATTACAGCAACTACAATATTCACATTACTGTGTGGCTCTGTGACTCCATAAAGTAGTTGTGCATGGTTTCTTTTAATCTGTGGTTTGCCATATTCTCTACAGTTTTTGAAATTTAGTATTCCCTCCTGCTTAAAATTAACAAAATTTCCCTTTTGTCCATTTAATAGCAACCCATCCACTAAGAAAACAATCATGTTCATATGTACCAAAAATACCGTTTGCACTGCCTTTAGTGGCAATGAAGGCCCAACTCTGTCACATGCAATTGCAAAGCCGAAAAGGAGTAAAATGTTCTGTCTCCTAGAACATAATTTTAATTTTCAGGAGACCAGATTTATTTACTGTTCAGAAACAACTCTATTGGTAGAGTCTGTTTTCATATGGCCAAATAAGAACTTGAAGTAATATAAGAAACAGTGATTTTTGTTCACTGCCTAGAATAAAGAATTTTCTTTTTGTGCCATAGATCGAATTTGAGGTTTAATTTGCTTGGCAGAGCCTTTTTACCTGTAGGCCGTAATAAGTAAAAGTCTACCTGACTCACTGACAAAGGTTCATCTGCACTTCGATCGTCCGAAGACTTAGGAACTTCCAGTCTGTCGATGAAAGCCTGGAGCTCCTTCCTGAAGGCCTTCATCTGCGCATTGATGCGGTACAGGAGCTCGTGCTCACGTATCCTGCTGCCATCGTCCTCCTCGTCCATCAGCCCAAAGAGGTCCCCGTTGGCCACATAAATTCTTGCCTCTGTGATGATGGTGCTCGTGTCGGAAATGAGGCGATCTATTGTCTTGCCCAGCCGCTCGGCTTCGGAGCGAATGTCCTTCATCTGCTGCCTGTCAGTGAAGCTTTTCTGCCACCCTGACGGCGTTGGATAAAAAGACCTGGTGGGCGTCAGGCACCGAATGTTGCGCACCTCTTCGGAGTCGCTTTCCCCACCGATGGGACCTTCCCTTTTGCGGTGAGGGGGGCGGGAATCATCATCGCTCTCCTTTTTTCCCGCATCGCTTTCCGCATCGCTGTCTCTGGGGCTGCCGCGGATCCCCAGGTGAGAGGCCAAGTCGTAGCGCTGCATGTTGGACATCAGGACTCTGTTCTCATACTGGAGCTGCATGACTTTGCCACTCAGCTCGTTGATCTGCATTCGTGCAGCTTTTAGCTCCTCCTGTAATGCTTCTGTCTTCGCATTGTCATGGTGCCTAGAGCTCTCATGGGCCCCAGACTTGTACTTGTATTTGTTCAGCTCAGCTGTTATGCGTTTGTTTTGTTCTTCTAAATCAGCTACATTTCTCCTCAGCAATTCTGTTTCATCTTCTACTAGCTGCAAATGCTGTCGTAATTCTGACAGGGATTCATTCTGCTCTCCCAGGAGTGGGTTCGTGGTCCCTGAGAAATCATCTCCTCTTAAATCATCGAGTTCTGCTTTCAGTCCTCTATTTTCTACTTCTAGTTCCACTATTTTCCTCCCAAGAATGTTAGCTTCCTCCTCCACAAGCCTCAATCGAAGCTTGAGCTCAGCTTCTCTTGTGGTAGGTGGCCCACCTGCTTCACCTTTTGGCAAGGGACTGTCCAAATCCCCATAAAATGATCTGTATTTTTGCAGCTCATGTTCAAATCTGTCTTTCTCTTTATCAATTTTAGCCATTTTCTTCCTCATCAAGGCTGCTTCTTCTTTGACAAACTGTAACTGGCATTTCAGGTCTTCATTGTCATCCTTAGGAAAAAAAGCAATATTTGAACAAACTTGAAATCAAACAGGAGACCTCCAGTGGGATTGTCTTAATTTACAAGATTATCACAGGTACATGGCTTTAGATACTAAGATATTTTTCTGCAATATTTTTTCACTGATCAATAAATTAAAAACAGGGGAAAATACTATTTTACTTGTGACTAAAATTTGCACAGTCCCCAGAAGTACCTTGGGGGGGTGGGAAAAGGGGGCTTGTAAAAAACCTTATATTTTCTATGCTTGCAACATTATCAGACTTTACAGTGTTCAAAAATCCTGGAGTCAGCACAAATAGAGCCTATAAATCTTGTTTCACTGCTGCTGCCATTTACTTTGCCTAAAATACAGAGTAGGTGAAAGCTGGTGGGCTCTGTTGCAGCACCAAGTTTGTTTAGGGAGTTCTTGAGATTAGTGGTGTCTGACTGCAGATCTGGGTAAGAGCTCATCCATTTCACAGCATGGAAAACAGAAAAACAAAGGGCAAAGCAAAAAGCAAGCCAAGTGCAAATAAGTAAACCATGTACCCCATTTCCACAGCTCCCTGAAGTCTCCACATAGGAATCAAGGCTACAGTTACTTGCAACATACCTCTGTTGGCGTCTGCTGTGACTTTTTTTCTGATTTTGGTAGGTCTTTGCTTCCTCTCCTCTTCAGTGATTGCTGCAATTACAACAAAAGGACATGCACTGAATTTTTCTAAAGGTACACTAAAGATGTATATAAATTGTATATAATTAATTTTAAAAGAGAGCAAATCAAATGCAACTATAAAGGAATTAATTTCTTGTAATTTTTGAGATACTAAATACAGAGGAAAGATGCCATAGCCCAAGAATGAAACAGCAATGGCACACAAATAAGGTTTTAGTTTAATCAGTCTTACCTTTTTTATTCAACACATTTTGAGACTCGTGCATTATGAATGCTTAACGAACGACAAGAGTGGTAAGAAAACAGGCATCCCAAGTGGTAACTGTCAGATGGGAAAGCTGAGACAAGCAGTGAAACCCAGCTCCCCCATTTGATATTAACCCTGGTGGGGCCAGGGCACTTAAAAAAGCCTTCATCTTAGACAGCTACACTAAACAGTGTCACTGGGATCTGTAGCTGACTCCAGTGTGCATCTACAAGCACACCTTTCCCTGTGTCCCCCCTTCAGGCTTCAAACTTGCAGTGCACTGCAGTCACACTTCCTTAAGTGTACACTAGGGACAAACTCACACATAGCTCTGGTCACTATGTTTGTTCTGTTTCCAGATCATATTCAAGTCAATGCCATTTAAAACTGCTTGGACTACAAAATTCTAAAGAGAAACAAATCATACCAGCTCAAGGACAGAAATACACAAAACACACAAACACAGGTCTGCCCCACCATATGAGCGAGATTCTTTGGTGTCCTCTCATCTGCTATGTAGCCCAAGAGAGTAAAAAAGAAACTCCTGCTTTTAGAGCAGGATGCACTGGGATTGAAGCTAGCTAGTGTATCCAGCAAAAATCTTGTGGCTGCTGACAGCAGAAAACTTGGTTATGGAAAAGCAGCAGCAGTGGAAAACAACTGCCACCATCCCACTGGCAACACTCAATACTGATCATCAGGAAAACACAAATGAGAGGATATGTTAATACATAATGCCCCAATTGCAGCTGTTCAAAGTTTTTGTGTTCCCCAGGTAAACTGTAGGCCCCAAGGCAGGACAGTGATAACCAATACCATCTCCTTCTGAGACTGTGCTCTGGTAGAAACATCCTGTGAGAAACATACTCTTCCCTGCACCAGAGGAGGCAGAATCCATCTCCATCTAAAAGCTGTCCAGTTCCACAGACTGAGAATTAAAATATGTTCATAATTCTCAAGAAACAGAGTATAGTGGGTGAGTATGCTGCACATAACAATCCTGTGCACTATTTGCCTGCTGGTACTAATCATCCTCTTTCTTCTGCAGATCAACTCCATTAAAAATTCCTACACTCGTGGACTGCTCACTAAAAAGGAAAAGTTAATGCCACAGAAAGACTCACATGTAAATCAAATTTTTATGTCTCTTGCGGAAATATTGAATGCTCTCAGTAGACCAAACAATAAAACAAATCAAAGATCATAGCTAGATAGCTGTAAAACACAGGCTTCTAATGCAATCCAGAAAAGACATGAAAATAGTTCAATTAACTCATTTATCCCTTTCAGTATAAACCCCGCAAATTTGGAATCCAGTCTATTAACAAAATGGTTCTTTTCCAGAGTCACCCACAAGTTATCCTGTTGTAGAAATGGTACATGCATTTTTGAAAGGGTTGTTTTGTTGTTTTCTTTTAGAATTGGCAAGTTTATGAAGCCCTAAACTTCCAAAGGAGTAGGTTCCTCCTCTGTGTTACCATTAACTACTGTGTAT